ACGCGCTCACACACACACACACATGCAAGCCACATGTCGAATCAGCCAACCAAAAACAACGCTAATATGACACTTTAACAGTTAGGCCAACACACACACACGCACAACTAATAATAAAAAATCATAATTTCAATCAGCGACAACAACAGCAACAACAGCGCTGAATGCCAGCAAGTGAGAGGGAGCACGAGATAGAGAGCAAGAGCATCATCGGCACCTGCATATCGCTCACTCCCTTGCACTCATACACTCGTGCACTCACACTGACACACAGTCGGCAGCGCAGTCGACGCAAAAAGAAATAAAACAAAAATAATAAAAGTAAAGGCAAGAGCAAAAAAATATCACTCAAAATCCAAAGGCGAAGAGAGAGCGCCTGCGCGCACCGACAGAGAATGAGTGCGAAAATGAGTGAGAGAGAGTGGAAGGAGAGTGAGTTTCTAGAGCGAGCGAGAGCGAGGGCGCGAGTGGGTGCGAGCGAGAGGCCAGAAAGTAAACTTGAAAGCCGAAGAAAAATCAAAGCCAAAAGCTGTTCGAAAAAAAGTCAAAAAAAAAGAAAACAGAAATATAAAGAAGAGACATTCAATGGCGTTTGGTGCGAGCGAGATGCAACGAGGCAATTGTTGTTTCTCTCTCCCTTTCTAGCTTGGCTTTTCTTTGATTTTTTACCATTAGTATTACCTGAACTTTTACCTTTTATAGTTGGATATAATATCATACAAAAATTTAATATATTTTCCTTAGCTCTGGTTTAAATATGCCTTGAATTGATTTCCTTATTAAATGTTTCATTATATTTTTTATTCTTATATTTATTTGTATATATATTTATATTTATTTTATTTTTTATTTACAATGCATTTACGTGTAACCACTTTTTGATGCAATCAAGAAGATTGAAAACAATCTGAACCTTTTCGATCCACCTTAATTTTTGAATGTCAATGAATAAATGGTTCTGTGTGTTTTTATGTTTTTTATTGAACATCAGATTTTCCAATATATACCATAATTTATTAAGTTATATGTAAGCTTAATTTATAATTCCACTACTATTTATTTCGGATTTATTTTATCGTTAAACTATTTATTTAGAACTTTTTTATTTTTACAATTCTTAGTATGAAAAATTATTTTATGGTTATTTTGTTAGATTAAGTAAAACTTGTTTCACATTTGATTATGCTTGTGATTTTTTCATGCAATGTCCATTTTAATTCAATAAAGTTTATGTCTATAATAAAGTAAATTTTCCTATTTTGCGTTGGTTTATAAAAACATAAAAATCTCAAAAGAGTGTCCTTTATTTTTTTGTTAGAATATTATTTAATGCTTCCTTACAAAATTTCATAATTCCTTAATGATGTTTTTAAGTTTCGGCGAGAGCAACAGATATTGGATGCCCCTCTGCTGCTGCGCAGGTAGCAGTGACGTCGACGTCGACAGAGCCGCACACAGTCGCACACGTGTGACATACATGAGTGTGTGTGCGTGTGTCCATTGACGTTGTCGTCGTCTGCTTTTCTGTTTTTTGCTTTTCTTTTTGCTCGCCAATCAAATGGGGCGGGGCTTAAATCGTTTGCTTCGCTTTTTTCTTCTTTTTTTGTCAGTCTCTTGCCCTCTGCCACTGCCGCTGCCTCAGTCGGCGTCTCTGCCGCTTCGTTTCTTCTTCGACTTTTTATGTGACACTTGGCAATGTGAGTGTGTGCGATTTGGTTTTTATTATGCGAATTATCGAAAATTGAGAGCGACTGTCTATATGAGTGCTTTTTGCGTCTTGAGTGAGCTTGTTTGTTTTTTTTAATTAAATTGACTAGTTTTATTTAAATTTTTGAATTATTTTTTGTTATAAGGCGTATTTTAAATTATTTATTTTTATTGTCATTAGAAAATTTCTAATTAATTTCTTTAAAAAAAAATATTTTTGTAACCCCACAAATTTGATGCTCAAAAAATATATCAAAAAATATCGATATAATATAAAAAATGCCATTCTTATTGCCGAAAACTGAAAGTGTTTTTCAAATCAATCGAACTGATTAGTTAAATCAGCTTACTTAAATCAATTTTGATTAATTGTTCTGTAAATTTACGGTATCTATAGAATTTCCTGTAAATAATATATTATTATAAAGCAAATTAAGAATATAAATAACTTAAAAAGAAAAAAGTTAAACAAGTAAGGGAATCAACTTTTAATGAATTGGATGTCTTCATGCAAGTTCGAAAATTTTTCGAAAACGAGTTCGAACCCCCTGCATTTTTGACTCAAAGACAAGAGAGTGAGTGAGTGAAAATGCCTTGTGAGTACTTGGATTGAGTGGTTTCTCGAATTCCGCCGATTTTAATCCAGTTGGAATTCTGTTGGTTGGCGAAGACACTTGTTTTTTTATGGGAGATTTGTAGGGGTTTCGAATGCACTTACTTAGTTTGTAATATTGAATAGTTATATATTTTTCAATATTAAGAACTTTAAAGGGATTTACTCACATTTTATCGTTCTTAAGACTTTACTTTGAACATAATAATATTAATAGTTTTTAGCCGTCATTTTTAACAAGACTATTTCAACAAGTAATGCCCCTTTTTTTCAATTTGTTAGAACTTATTGTATACTTTCAAATTGCATTATATATAAATGGCATTGCACTTTATTAAACGAATTATATAAAAATACCTTATTGGTTTACCCAATAATATGTGGCTAAATTCCCTTACCTTTGTGGATGGGCGGTGGGTGGTAAGCTAGGAGCAATAAAATGAAATGAGTATTTTTTTCGGGGTGAGTAGATTTTCCGACGCCGACGGCGGAACCAAGCATCGTTTTTTGTCTTCGTGTAGTTGGCGCTGCCCTTTCTCTCGGCTCTCCCGTTATTTTCGTTATTTCGCCAGCCGACGACGAAGTCCCCGAGCAGTTCCAAGCCCCCAATATTCCCCGTACACCCCAGTTACCGACTATTTTCCACCCAAAACCCCAAACCTAAACGCTTTTCAACCGATTTTCCTCTCAGACTGCAGCAACGCATCTGCGACTGCGACTTTGGGTTCTCAGTCTCAGTTTAGGTGTAAGCCATAACCCCTTTGAAAAATTCCCAACCACTTCGCCCCTCCCCAACAGAAATCGTGGGGTTTTAGTGGAGAAATAGGGGGTGAGAAAATCAAGGGGGGTGGGGGCGGGGGCGTCTGCATTGCACTTGGCGCTTCGATACAATTTGAACTTTTCTTTATGCGAAAATCCCGCAACGGGACTGCAAATTCCAGGGGTTTGCCGACAAAAAAAAAACACAAAATACCAGGAGGCTGAGAAGGGGCATACTCTCCCATTTAATATTCCATGGATTTTTGAAGAGCCGAACAGAGACAGCCAGCCAAGGGACTTAAGTTAGGATTGCAATTTAAGGTGCATCATAAAGTTGCAGAAGATTGGAAGGAACAAATTGCTTCTTAAAGTTACACTTAACTCTGAAACCATAACAAAAAATAAAATTAAATTAAACCACAAAACATAAATTATTGGTAGAATATACCTTTGGAATTTTTGTACACTTCCTATCTTCTTTTTTTAGTTTACATCTTCTATATGATAATATGAATATGAGCAGCTGCTTTTTAATAATATTCTATTATAAAATTGCCAAATAAAAATACAGTTTGTTTTCTATGACTTATTCTTATGACTTTGGCTCTTATAAAAAAACTCTTCAATTTTAGAATTATACTTTTTATGAATTTCAGGTAAATCCCCCTACAGCCAACCAAAAAAATATTACAAGTTTCCAAAATATCCTCAATCTCCATCCCGCCGCCGGCGTCGCAGTCGACGTTGCACTCAATCCTGCGCTCAATAAGCAACAACAACAAACAGCAACAAACGGTAGTGGAGAGAGGCGAGAGCCTGGCTCTTTCGTTTCCAATAAGAAAAGCGATGTGCGAGCGGGAGGGCACTAGCCAAAGTGTCTGTGAATGAATGAATTTCAATACATGCAACTGACATGCGACGGCGCAGAAAAATGCTCAAAAATAAGAGTAGCAAAAAAAAAAGAAGCGGAGAAGGAAAGCACAAAAAAAAAGTGAGAAAATCAAAAAGCTATTGAAAGAAATCAAAAGCAGTGCACGGAAATTGAGTGAGATTCTCTTGCGCGGAGCGTGAGAGCGCGAGCGAGCGAGAGAGCGAGAACGAGAGCGTTGCGCTGCATGGCATGAGTGTGTTGTGTGTTTGTGGCGCCTCTGTCGCTGCCAACGCCGCTGTCGGCGCTCTCCGCGGCAGAGGGTTGTCGGCGCTTCGTTAACGTTCGATTTGTTCAGTCATCAACAGCATTCGTGACTGGCAACGTCGTTTCGTTCGTCCGTCGCCGAAAGAAATCGAGAATTTTAGAAGATTTTTGGATTCTACTGCCCCACAAGGCAGTGCAGCTTCATCTTCTTCTTAGCCGCGGCGCGGGTGTGTGTGCGTGTGTGCCCCCTCTCTCTCTCACTGTGTGTGTACGTCGTGTGTGTGCGTGTGTGTGTGCAGAAGAATCCCCCCACCCACTTCATACAACAAAAAGAAATTCGTACAAAATAATTGCAAAAGAATGAATCTCGCTTGCCCAGGAGAAGAAGAAGAAACGTATTGATCATATTTATAAACAAAACAGCACACAGCCAAACAAATCCAAATCCAAAAGAAAAGGACTAAACGAACGTATAACATAACTGTTTATTATTTTTTTCAAGTGCATTTTTGTTCGCTAAAATATGTGCGCGTGTATGAGTGCCAAGTGTAAACAACAACAGCAACATCATAAGCAACAACAACGACAGCAAACATGTGCAAAATAAGCCACAGCCAAAAAGCAACAACAGCAACAACATAATTATAATGGCTTGAAAAAAAGATCACACACACACAACAACAACTACAACAACAACAGGCAACAACCAAAACAACAACATCATACCCTCACCATTCAACAACAACTACAACAAAATCCCCCCCACACACAACAACAAGAAGAAGCCCCTTCCAAAAATTAAAAAAAAAAAAATAAAAGAAATTCTTTTTCGGAACTAAAGTGAACAAAATAAGAAAGCATAACATAACCATAATAGAAATAATAGTAACACACAGAAATTGGCTTATTTATGAATTTTTTTGAGCACGTAACAAGAAACATAATACATAAGGTGTAAATGTGATGACTAAAAACGAAAACCAATATATAACAACTAACTAACTAACTAAGTAATATCGAAACGACAACAGAACAGAATGCCAGGCCTTATTAGCCCCAAATTGGTAGAATCCAAAAACTGAAAAACCCCAAAACAAAACAAAACAAAACAGAAAAACCGAAGCAAAAACTGACTGAGAATTATTGAATTAACCCAAGAAAGCCCACGAATGCAGCCAACATTGCCACAAGCCGCTGGGACAGCCGATATGGATCTGACGGCTGTTCAATCAATCAACGATTGGTTTTTCAAAAAGGAGCAAATTTATTTATTGGCACAGTTTTGGCAACAGGTAAGCAAAAGTTCGCAAAACGCTAGAAAAACGGTGCTTGAATTGCTACGAGTTTCGTGTTTCAAAAATAAAAATGAATATAGATCAATTGAATTGCCCAAAATGGAGATGAGATTAATGTTTTCAAAATATTCTTATCTTTTGTTCCCCTTAAACAAACAGTCCTTCGTTTATATTACGGGCCAAGTGTGTCTTATTTTTGTCAACAAAAAGATGAAATTACACCTGTTATACATTAACGTGGCTTACAATTTGATACTTGCGGCTTCTAACTTTGTATGAATGAAACGAATTCGATTCATACAGTATTACACCGAATTGTGAATTCAAAGTGAAAAGTTTAGCGCTCGTTTCGCAAGAAGCTGAAAGCCTTTTAAGCGTTAAAAACTAATACTTTAAAAACAATAAAGTGGAGAGCGAGTATTAGACTAAATTAAAAACAAAAGAACTGGCCGTATAGCGATTAGACTGAGAGCAGAAAGTCATATATTGAAATTGGCAATTATCATTGTAAATAAACAGTTGTGAATAGGGAATATTCGTTGCATTTCACTGGAAACTCCCACAACTGACAACAATAACCCTAGAGCGCCCAGCCGCCCACTTTAACCCCACACAGCCCCCATATTTTGGCCCCGCCAACTGCTTAACTTAACTTAAGTTTACTAATTGAGTTTGCGTGTCTATGGCAAATGTGTTTTTATTGTTGCTGCTCCGTTATTGTTGTCTAATTTCTTGTTGTAAATTTATTTATTTTTTTTCTGCTATTATTGATTTCTGGAAAAATTTGTTTACACACAACAAAAGCAAAAATGCAAAGTGCAACAAGCAAGTAATAAGTGAACAGTTTATTGCTTGAATAACTTTTTTTTAGCGTTGCGTTTGTTTTTTTTTTTTTGTTTCCTACTACCAGTGAACCGAAAAAGATAAAGCCAGACAAGATCGGCCAGACGGCAGAGATAATTCAGAAGGGGGGCGGTGCATAAGGGGGCGTGGAAAATCGGGAGGCGGGGGCCAGACGATGCTGAGAATTTCGCTGGCCAAATGCCAGACTCCGAACAAATAAGGCGGCAAAATAACATTAGAGGCCAAAAGGGGGAAAAGAAAATCTGCCAGACCAGACATGGAAATATCAACTGCTGTATATGTATATATTTTTGAATATTTCTATATATAAATATACTCTCTATATGGTTTGGGCAAGTTAATTAGGTTGCGTCGACAGCAACGGGCAAATTTTTTAATTGGAGTTTTTTCTTCGATTGATCGTGAAAAAGCAAGAGACGCTGCGCACCGCAAAAGACAGACATGAAAAATTCCCGGAAAATGTAGACATTTGCCGTCGGTGAATTGGCGTTTTTCACCGCACCGCTTTGCAAATATTTCTGTTCAAGATATGGCAATGCAAGCTGCAATCAATAAAACTTAAATAAGCAAAACCAAAAGCTATCCTATCGCCTTTTTCCCGGGAACCACAACAAAGACAAAAAACCAAAAAAAAACAAAAAAGTTGAGAAGCCGCAGAACTCGTTAGGATTACTTAAAGTCAGTGGTGTACGCAGGATTTTATGAATGGGGCAACGCGGATCTCAAACAGAACCGGTCTTAGTTTCATTAAATGCATTTGCTTGTTATATTTAAAAATATAATAATATATAGCCATATATGTACATAAAAAAAAAGGAGTGTTGAGATCTTTAAACGAAAACCCAAAACCCCGTCTACAAAAAAACGCCCCTGTTTTGGGTTCTCTTATCCCCTTTCCTAACGATCATTTAATGGCATTCAAAAGCTTCAAGTCTCCCAAAAGTTTCAAGACCCCTCAACCAACCAATGATCGATTGTAATCAATGAATCAATATTTGAAAGGTTCCGTCATGCCTTCGCATGCTGATCAACAAAACGAAATTAGAACTCGATCCATAAATACCATTTCTCTGCGGCAGCAAAAAGGTTATTCAACATAATTAAATTTGCCAGCCAAAAATAGAAGTTTATTAAATAAATTAAACAAGCCGCAGACAGACTACAGTCTACAGCTGTCCAAATGAGTTGAAACAATAAAAAAAAAAAAACGTTTTATAGTAGTATTTCAATTATTTATTTATTTACATTTCAAGAACAGAGCGCGCGCGAAAAAATTGACACAAATCGAATTCGAAAAAGCAACAATAAAAATGTGCTTGATTAACACAAAGTTTTGTCATTAAATATATAGAACGGTGGCACCAAAAAAAAAAAAACACAAAAAAATAATAAAACAAAAAACAAGAGCAAGACCAAAGACAGCAACAGCAACAAAAAGAAAAGTAGCCAAAGAAGAAGAAAAAGTTAAAAAGAGCAAAATTAATTTCCGTAATGCAATCTATAAACTTGACCCATTAACATCGAACAGATTTTTTGTTGCTTCTACAATTACCGAAATCCGAAAAACCAAAAACCGAAAACTAGACGAAAGTTGAGGTTTTTGTCATTGATTTGTGCTGATTCAAACTAGAAAAACAGGGAAATGGAAATGGAAACACAACAAAACCGAACTAATTGCCAAATGCATTTGCTGACTTAGAAAAAATATTAAAAAAAAAAAAGCAAAATTGAATTGAAAAGATGAGAGAAAATCGAGTTTGGGTTCCGTTTTAATCGAATTGAAACCGGTTATAGGGTAGTCTCACCACCACCACCAACCATCAGCACCATCACAGATGCAGATACGGATATAAAATACGAAATGCGGAATACCGGGGACGAGCATTGATAGTTTAAAAAGTTTAATTTTCAAAGATGGCGTCCCGGCATTTGCATATGCCGAAAATGAGCAGCCAAGGGTTGTCCCTTAAGCCCCTGGAAGCACACAGATACCTTGTGCCCATATACCATTCCATACCATACTATAGATACCATATTACCAGATACAGTATACAGATAGAGATAGAGATCAGATCGGTGAACTGAGCGGCGGCGTGTGTCGTATAATTTTTAGCGTTTTAAGTGCAATTTACTCGCTCTCCGGCAGAGAAGCCAGCTAATGAGTCACAGAAACCGAATGGGGGTGGGGGAAAAAAGGGGTTATACCAAGAATCACAGACCGAATTCAACCACCCACACAGCACAGATGCATACATATACATGTGCACACCCACACACACACACACATGGTATACGAAAATATTTCAGTCAGCTCAATCGTTCGATCGCTGGAAAGATATGTTAATATAATTAAATTAATTTGTCAGCACGGAAATTAAAACAGAAGCGGCATCGGCAGCAGCAGCAGCAGCAGCTAAAACAGAAACCGAAATGTCCATCACATCCACATCGGTATATAGTATCTATAACAAAAGGCAACGAACGAATCGAAACGATACTATACTAGACTATACTGTACTATACGAAACGAAACGAAACGAGACGAATCGAATCGAAATGAAAATCGAACAATTAAAAGCTTGTGATGGTTGGTGGGTGGAGATGTCGATCTGAACCCGGGAACCCGAGAACTCGAACTCGATCTAAACTACCACGCAACTAATAATGTGAAATAAAAAATCATTTGGAAATTATTATTAAAAATTGAGTTCATGAACTATGTGTGTCCGTCCGTCAATACATATGTACATACATACATATGCATGTGTATCTGTATCTGTATCTGTATCTGTTCTGTGCTCGATCAGTTTTTATTATGATTATTTGCTGTTTCCCTCTCTTTCCGGTTTATGGCATTAATTATGAATAGCCATTGAAGCTAATTGAAGCCGGTCGAGTGGAGTGTCCTCAAGTAACTTGGGAACGAACTAACCATCAAACGCACTTCAGATTTCCCATCCGATATGTTTAGGCCGTAATTAGCTGATTCTCAATCGAATGAAGGAAGCATCCAGCTATCCAATGACCTCAAGTAACTCAGCTTGCAGTCATCATAATCGTTGGAAATCACCATTTCACACAGCACTAAAGTGGGCTTTTAAACGTACGAGTATGTGGGCTATGTGTATTTCAGCTTGTGATTATCAAATAAATAAATACTTATTCAATCGCCCTGATACCTTGCATACTTATTGCAGGCACACCGTTATAAGTACATATTTCAAGTGTCTGGCAGTCGTTTTTCCAGCAACCTCATGTAACTTTGCCTGCTGCCATCGAATCAAACTGAAATTTCACACTCTCATATATTGAAGTGGGAAATTGGGGGGATTGGGGAATGGATCTCCAACCAAATAGCCACACGGCAAACAGCGACACTAATTGAGCATAAATATCATAAATGCTAAATGCGCTTTGCGTGGTGTGCATCAATTGTCATTGCATCATTAATTCCGCATCTAGACGAACGTACCGAACCGTCTTACAAAAGCTGGCGATGCCAAAAATGAAGAAGCGGCCGTGGCATCTGCGGAAAAGAAAAGATTCGACGGCTTTTGTGTACAACTTAATAACAACTAATTGTCTTTTTATATGCATATATGTACATACATATACACATCGGAGGGACATAGGAAAAAGTGAAAAAAAGCCAAACCAAAAACGATTGTGGAGCGGAAAAAAGGGGAAAGGATGGCAAACCTGTCTTGAAAATCTTTGCCTTTGTTTTTTTTTTTGTGTGTGCGCGCTGATGCTTCTTTCATCTTTCAGTTGTCAGTAATTTGTGCAGCTCAATATATCAGTCGATATCTTATGAGTTTTTAATTTCAGGTTTCTCATGTGTGTCTCTCCATCAATTTGATTTCCTACACGGCGAGTTTTTCTTTTTCTCGCTTGAAAAGGACAAATCGTTAAAACGAATGAAAAAAAAAAAAAAAAAAAAAAAACACACAAACCCACTGATGTTGAGGATATTGAATAAAATATCATTTTGTGCACGCCCCTTTTTCGAGAGGAAAGCGAACGAGGAACTCGCCACAGAACCAAACGAACCAACTGATGATGATGAGTTTTGTGAGCTTCTCCTCACGGGATTCCCTTGGTATTGGCAACATTTTGTGTGATCGATACGTTGA